CTCCTTCTTTTCCTTTTTCATGTATTGGGTACAGGATCTCATTGCACATCTTGGACTCATAGTGATCCTCCTGTTTTCAGCCTCCTCAGTGCTGGGATTATAGGAGCGTGCCATCATATCAAGTCTGAGTGGCTGGCTCAGTAGGCCTGGGAGGGGGGACTGGCACCACATGTGGAGCTGGGGATCAAACCCTTGTCCATGCCCTTGCCTCAGCAGGCTCTTAGGTTGTTGAGCTCTCTCACTGATCTCTTCTTATCTTTATAATATGGGCCACTCTCATTAAGCAGTGAGAAGAAGGACATTATGCAAGGCCGCCTGCCTCTTACTGTTTGGAGGCCTGGTCATTTTCTTTTGCTTTCTCTCTATACCACACAGGAAACATTACGGCACAGTGTGGGGAGTCCTATCCTTGCCTTAAGCAAAGCTGTCCAAGTTCCCAGCGATTTCATTTCCTTCCAAATCCATTTTTATTTTGCTGTGATTTTCACCTTGGCTCAAGGCAAAGCCTCCAAGGCCTTCTTTTATCCAACTTTCCTTTTTCCGAACTGTAACTTTCCTTTATTTCTGTAGTCCAGGGGCTCTTTATTTTTCACCATCCCTCTTATGTTGCCTTATCTCATACCAACATTATTCCCTGGTTTTCCTGTAACAGCATCTCCTTGAGACCTTAGATGCCTGGGAGATGAACTTGACTGATCCAAGAAACTGGGGGACTATGGGTATACTTATTGAAGACAACAGCTACCAGACTGTCTTGGAATGTGAGGTAGTGACAATATGGATGGAAAAATGTCTCTAAATGTTAATGAATGAATCTTTATCTACTTTTATGTATAAAACATATAATAATTTTGCCCTCTAAGCTCTTCATTCATGTCTCATAGTTACATAAAGCCTCTACATAGATCCCTTTTCAACTTTTCATCCTTGTTGTAGCTCTGTGATTAATTTCTCAGATCATGAATATTTTTCAATTTTTTTTCTCCCTCTTATGTCAGTATCACAACATTGTAGTATTTGAGGGAGACATTGGAAAAGACCTTGAATATATATTTTAAAATCTGGCAGTAGGTGTTTCACATTTTGGATTATGTTCCTTGTAACTTTTCAAGAGAAATACACCTACAAAATAGATTTTCAATATTTAGGTAGTGATACATTGCCAGTTCCCCCCAAAGAATAAATTCTGCTTAATAGCTCATTAAAATTTAAATAGGACACCATAAAAAAGGGAAAGCCTTTGAAATTTGTCAGACCTACTAATGCAGATGTTGCCAGTAAAGCTAGAACATTAGGAAGCATGGCAGAAACTATAGAAGATGTGATTGTGTCTTTTGGGGCCCACAGACTCACCCACAAGGAAGCCAAGTGATTCACCTATAGAACAGCAGTACCTAATGCTGTTGCGTCTCCAACATGACTATTTTGATTTTTTGCATGGTCCGCATTTACCCACTCTAAGACAACCTGAACTTCCTTCAATTTTACCTTTTCTACAATTGACTTCTCACACTGAATTTGTCATGAAGTATCTTTGTCCTGTAGGATCATGAGTGCCTCTCAGAATGAAATATTGAAGAGATTTGAAAGATACGGAATCTTACATTAAATGTTTATATTTGGATTATTTCTGAATGAAAATATTCTGATGATGAGTATTTGAGCTAGCTGCAACCAAATTTCTACTTCTCAGTGGAAAGATTGCTTTATCAAACAGCAGATTATTTTCTATACTAATTCCATCATAATAATTTACAAATAAATTAGGGGCAGATGGAAAGGATATTTTAGACAGAAACATAGGAAGGTGGGTTTTGGGTAATGTACGATAAAATAACATTTTCCTTTTGTTGTCTTCTCACCACCTTATCTCATTGTTTTCCTCCCAATGTCTCTGACATTAATGTAGTTATAATTTAAGATGGTGAGTGGTCAATAAGGTAACATGAATGAACTAATGAACAGTGAAACATGTACCTTACAAATTTTATATAAAAATAATTTTATTGCTTTGCAAATGTCAATTTTGATTATTACTATAGGTTAGGGAGAGAAAATTACTTCCAGTAAAGGGAAATTTAGCAACTAAGAAAGATAATTAAAGGCACGGTAGAACATCTCCAAAATGAACTTTGTATTTCATGTGGGAATTTTCATATGGGAAAGTGGGAAATGTGCAATATAGAAAGTGAATTGACTCGAGTAAAAGAAATGAATTAAAAAGTATCAGAATCTATAGTTTCCTGGACACAAAAGTTTTCAAACATCCAGGCGGCCTGAAAACTGGCATGAGTTCTGTATCCTGCTCCCTGCTTGAGGGAAAGAAATGAATTCTTTTTGCCAAGTCAGCCTTGGCATTAGTAAGGAGGAGAGATTCTCCATGTCTGTGGAGGTTGTCCAGGTCTGCTTCATACGCTGGAAGGGATAGACTGGCCTCCTTACAACTAGGAAAGCCATAAAGGAACGAGCAAAAAATGCTGAAATATTGGTGTAACAATTTAGCCTGCTTAGGGACAAGAATGAAAAATGCAAAGGCAGACAACAACATATAACAAAATAGCAATAGAATGATTTCCAGATGCTTTGGGAAAATAGCATTTGACAAAATATCCACCTGGCTATGAAGGAAGACACAGGCAAGTTCCTCTGTCCTTTGCCGAATCAAATACAAAAGCAATTGGGCACAGTATTATTCCTTTTTATTTTATTCCAGTTATATGAGACCACGTCAAGGTTTCTGTGATTCAGGCTCACAAAGAACATTTTTGGTTTTCTATATTACTCACCTAGGATGAGATGTGCCATGTGCAAGCTTGTAAAGATAGAGGTTAAAATCACTTAATAAGGAATTTCTCCAAATGTATAGTTGTGGTAGAATACATATTTCTTCAAAATATCAGATATCCCATATTTAAAGACCCAATCCTCATAGGGGTATAGAGATGAATACACATTTTTAAGATGAAGACATAACAAATAGCAAATAAACACATGAAAACAGGTTCAACATCACTGGTGCAAATGAAAATTGAGATGCTGTCTCCACCCAGGAAGAATGGCTATTTTGAAGAAATCAACCAGTAACAAATGTTGGCAGGGCTGTGGGGAAAAATGAACCGTTCTCCATAGGTGGCGTAACTGTAGACTGGAGCAACTACTGTGGAAATAAATCAGTGTGGAGATTCCTCAAAACTAGGATGGATGTAGACATCATACAACAGTGATATACGTGTACCCATGTTTATAGCAGTGCAATTTGTCAGAGCTAAATTCGGAAACAGCCCAAATACTCAACAGAGGAATGGTTAAACAAGATGTGGTCTTTTTATATAATGACATATTACTTAGGCACAAAAAGGATAAACTGGAGATTTTTATGGTAAATGCATGCAACTTGAGACCATACTCATAAATGAAATAAACCAGATGCAAATACATAAACATCATATTGTCTCCCTAGTATGAGATGCTGAAAGAGTGATAGAAGAGTAAGTGTAACGTGAAGTGTATAATAGTTATTTTAAAATGGGAGGAAAATTCAAATAGAAAGAGAAACTGGTTTAGGGAAATGGAAAAAAAAAAGGAAGGGAAAAACAAAAGAAAAAATATATATAATATAGTTAAATAGTCATACTATTTTAATTCCTCCCAGTTCCCTAATAAGGTAGCTTTGTGCTAACACTGTTTAACCAATTAGATGCTAATGTCTCAAACTCTGAGCAACTAATTTATAGATAATAGCACACAACGTATTGACCATTGTTACTTTCCTATAACATTATTTTGGAAATTTATCTTACTTTTTTGTTTATTTTCTTTAAAATGAAAATTTAATAAGGAAGAAAACTAGAAATCCTTACTCTCCAACTTCTTGGCCCATTTCTTTGCATGCTTTATATTTCAAGGACAGTAAGTCCCTGATTTTCAAACTCTGGAGCCAAGAAGTTTCATAGGTAACCACAAACCCGGAGGAACATTCATAGATGTGAACAAATTGCAGAAGTAGCTTGATTGTTTACCTCATCATTTTAAAGTAACTGTATGAGTAAAAAGAGTTGATTTATAGTATTTTGTGTATGTGCTTTCATGCTTTGCATTTTCTTTTTGGTCAGGGTTGTGTGAGATTAACTTAGTTGGATTTAAGAACAAATCTGACTTACCAAAGTTCTACACGATGTAACTCGTTTGTATGTTGGGGACATTCATTACTGATGAAATATTAAATTAAAATGCATACTTCGTGGGCAGGGATGATACTGTGTTTACAAAAGTGCTTGCCCAGGGTGAGGTTTATCCATTACTCTCTGGATATGCTGACCCTCCAATTTCTCTGAATGTGGAAAAGTCATCTGCAGGTTTTGATAGTGGTGGACTGTGTTCACACTTTTCCCTGATGAAAAAATAATAATGAAATTTAGTCCCATATAGTTTTAAAGTCTAGATTTCTAAGTCAAATACAGCCAAGTCCAAATTCTTTCTTGGCCATTTAACAATTGAATGAAACTAGCTATTGATCTATGCAATCCTCAAAGTTTTAATTAATATAATGAAACTATTACATACTTTATAGTTACGAGAAGATAAAATAGGAGAGCATATGCTAAAGAAGATAACAAAGCAATTGGAATGTGGTAAGCACACTAAGAATTATTTTATCCATCTGAGCATGCAAAAATATTTGTTGAACACTTACAATAAATAATTATTCTAGGAATACAAAATGCTTTTCCTGTGAAGAAGGCTAATAAGAAATGCGGTAAACACATAAACAACAGAGAATATGCTACATGGAAAACAAAATGCTAAAAGATAGTGATGGATAGACTAGGGGAACACCTTCATTATTATTTTAAAACTTTCATTTTCAAATTTATTTTCCAGTTTTTATTCTTTTGTAAATTGCTTATTTCATTTAGCATAATGTTTTCAAGTTTCATTAGCACTGTAACCTATGTCAGAATTTCCATTCTGTTTCTCTGAGCTTTACTGAAATATAATTGAAAAATAAAAACTGTGCCTTTCCAAGTCATACCTGATGTGTTGATATACATATGCCCCGTGAAATGATTACACAGTCAAGTTAATTAACCTAACCAGCACCTCACACTGTTAACCTTGTATATGTGTGTGTGTGTGTGTGTGTGTGTGTGTGTGTGTTCATACAATTGTGTGCACGAGTGTGTGGTGAGCCTCGTCAAGATCCACAGCCTTTGTAAATTGCAAGTATACATTGTTGACTATAGGTATTATGCTATACACTAGTTTAGCGGAACTTATTCATATTTTAACTGCAAGTTTGAACCCATTAGCTAAAATCTCTTCATGTTTCCCACCTGCTGAGCCCTGGTACCAATTCAACTGTGTTCTTTTCCCATGAGTTCCAACTTTATTGTTTTTGCTTGTGGCTGTTCCGTGACCATTAGCTCACCATAATAATTCAGGTTCATCTGGTTTTGCAAAGGTTGGGTTATTTTTATCTGAAGGCTGAATCATATTCCATTGTGCCGTATAGACATTACAAATTCTTTGTCAGGATAGCTAGCATTGCAGTGGACACAAGGTTGTTTTCATGCCTTGACTTTTGTGAGTAATGCTACAATAAATATGAGAAGATAAATAGCTTTTTAGGTAGTGATTTTATGTCTGTTGGCTGTGAAAAGTGAAATAGCACTGCTGGACCTGGTGGAAGCTTCATTTTGTGTTTTCATCTTTTGAGGACTTTCTGTACTGTACCAGCAAATTTTCCTTTGATAGTGTATAAAGATCCCTTTTGCTCTACATATCACATTTTTAGACATTTTAATAATATTCTGTTTAATAGGAGTGAGTTAATACCTCATAGGATTTTGATTTTCAGTGATCACCGACATTGAGTAACTTTTCAAAGGCGCACTGACTATTGATATATTTACTTCAGCGAAACAGTCTATTTAGATATTTTGTCACTTTTTGTATTGCTTTTAATTTTTGATTTTTATCATTATGTTGAGTGAATTCTTTAAATATGGTGAATCTTTTATTAGACTGATATCTTGTAAAAATGTTCTCATAGGCTGTCTTTATATTTTGCCAACTGTTCACTTTGCCATGCAGAAATATTTTGACTTGCTAAAGTCCAACATTTTTGTTTTGGTTGCTACATTTACTTCTTGTGTCCTGCAAAAAGTAATCATTACCAAGAAAAATGTCAAGGGTCATTTTCTCTATGACTTACTCTAGTATTTGTGGTTTTAGGTCTTACATTTAAATTAGTAATGATTTCTAAATTTATTACTTTCTTCTAATGCTATCAAATAAGAGCCCCCTTCACTGAGATAAAAAAAATTTTTGCAATGTTATTTATTTATTTTGCAATACCGTTTATTGAAGAGACTGCGGTTTTCCAATTCTGTAGTCTAAATGAATTTGTTAAAGATTAGTTGATGATACATACATAAGTTGATTTTCATTTTTCATTCTGTTCCATTGGAGTATTTTTCTCTGATTATGCCAGACTATGCTGTTTTCATTACCATGGCTTTGTAGTATAACTGGACACTGGAAACTGCTGGTAGTCCTATCTTTGATTTTCTCACTCAAGACTGACCTACTTATTAGTTTTGCTTTGTTTTTTGTTTTTGTTTTTGTATCTTTAGGGAAAGGTCTACAGGGTGTTCAGGGTATCACTACTAGATTGGGCTTGTAGTGATCCACCTGTTTACAGCCTCCCAAGAGCTGAGATTACAGTCACCTGCCACCATGTCCAGTCTTATTTGCTGTCTCGGCACGCCCAAGGGGCGGGGTCAACATGGCAGGCTCAGGGATTGAGCCACCAGGCCCCTCACCTACTTGCAGGAGCTTTAATCCCCTGAGCTATTTGACCAACCCTAGTTGTTTGATTTGATCTACATTTTAGGATTGCTTTTTTTCATAAGTATACCATTGGCACGTTGACAAATATTTACACAAATCTGTAGATCACTTGGGTATTATGAACATTTTGACAGTACTAATTGTTATGATTTGTGAATATGATATAATTTGTCATTTATTGATGTCATGTTAGTATTTTCATTATGTACATCCTTACAGCAATGTGTTTCTAGTCATATCAGGCCTTTCATTTTTTTCCTAATATATTTTTTTTTCTTTTTCATATTGCCACTGATTCCTAACAGTTTAGAAAGAAGGTACTCAAATAGTATTTTGGGGAATATATATATATATATATATATATATATATATATATATATATATTACAGACCTTGATGCTGATCAAGGATAAAGACCTATAGTTTTCTTTCCTTTCAGTGATTGTGCTTTCTTGGCTTTCTCTTATGAGGATAATGCTGATATTATTAAATTAGTTTAGAAGTATTCTTTCATCTTCAATTATTTGCAAGAATTTGAGAAATGTTATTAGTATTTCTTCTGAATATTTGGTAAGATTTGCCAGTGAAGGATGTTTTATGAGATTTGCATACCATCACTAGCTTTTATTTGTTCCAAACATTTTTTGTGTACAAAACTTTTGATCAGTGATCCACTCTCTAGAAATTATTGGTTTATTCTGATTTCCTATTCTTTATGTTTTAGTATTAATAGATTTTAAGCATTTATCTATTTTTTCTAAGCTTGAGTAGATTTCTAACCTTGAAAGAATTCAGTTTCGAAAACCTGAATGTTAGAGTATTCATGTGGGTAATATTCTTATAATCTGCATTTCTACACTATCCCTTCTCATTTCCTTTGTTTCTGATTTTTGTCCTTTTCTCTTTTTTTAGTATAACTAAATATTTGTCAGCTCTATCTTTTTCTTAAAAAAATCCTTAGTTTCATTGAACTTTGGTGTCTCTAGACTGCATATCACATATTTATTTCCTAGTCTTCATTATTCTTTTTCCCTTTCATTAACTTTGAACTTAGTCCTCCCCCTTTTGCAAGATTCTTGAAGTGTAATATGAGATTATTTATTTAAAATCATTTTTATTGAAGTAGATGTAATGATTAAGCCTAATTGTGCCAACTGGATTGATTGAAAGCTTCCCAGGTGATTGATGAATCACATTTGTAGATCTCTCTCTCTCTCTCTCTCTCTCTCTCTCTCTCTCTCTCTCTCTCTCTCTCGTATTTTAGGGAAGGGTCTATAGGGTGTTCAGGTTCTTACTACTAGATCAGACTCAGTAGTAACCCACCCGTTTGCAGGCTCCCAAGACCTGGGATTACAGGCGCGTGCCATCACCCATGGTCTCAATCGGTGTCTCAGTACGCCCTGGGGGTGGGGCTGGCATGGCAGGATCTGGGATCGAAACCCAGCCCCTGTGGCTGCTTGCGGGTGCTTTAATCCGCTGAGCTATTTGTCAGGCCCTAATATATCTAGACTTCTCTAGGGCCCACAGTGACAGGATCTTGGGGACCACATCTGGCACTTCACACCTTGCACTCTGGCCTTGCTCCCCTATTCTGTTTCTCAAGATCTACCATTCCATTCCAGCATGAAGCTTCAGCACTGAAGCCACTAAGCATATTCTCCTTCTCCTGAAATCATAAGACAAACAAACCTCTCCTCTTTTAAGTCTGAGGTTTCAGGCACTGTGTCTCAGCTAGGTGAACACCTACTAACACAATAGACCATTGTCATAACTGTCAATCTTGTAATTAATTTTGCTTCATCATATAAGATCTAGTTTTTGTGTTTCCTTTTTAAATTTTTGTCAGGGTGTATTTTAAATTTCTCATTGATTGTTCACCTATCAGACTTTAGAAGCATTTGCTTATTTTCTATATATTCCTGAACTTTAAAGAAATGTCTAAACTTTATTGATTTGTAGTTTAATTCCATTGTAGCCTTAATGGTGTAGATGTTTTACTCTCAGTCTTCTTAAATTCACTGACTTGACTGGTTATGGTGCATATTATCTGTTCTAAAGGATGTTCTCTGTGTTCTTGAGAACAATATGCGTTGTGTTGAGTGATGAAACAATGTATGAAGTCTCTAAAGTTCATTTAGTTTAAAGTTGTGTTGAAGCCCATCATACTGATTTTTGATTGATTGATTGATTGATTTTGACTTTTTCCTTTCTGTATTTAGGACCAGGTCTACAGGATCTCACTATGCAGATCAGATTCACAGTGAACATCCTGTTTTCAACCTCCCAAGTGCTTGGATTACAGGTCTGTGCCACCATGACCAGTCTTAATGTCCCTCTCAGCGCACCTCAGAGGCTGGGCCGGCACAACAGGCCCCTGCACGCTGCCTAAGCAAGTGCTTTAGTCTACTGAACTATCGGGCCAGCCCTCGATTTTTGATTTAAACAATCTATTCATTGTTGAACCTGTGGGCTTGAAACTATTCACAATTTCTACATTTCTTTTTACACCTGCTTTTAAATCTACTAGCCAGCTTTATATATT